CAACCAACACGGTGTAAAGCTGAAACAAGAAGACCAAATTGTCCTCTCCTAATACACAGGAGGGTCCACCAAATTAAATTAACTGGGCGGTATTCACCCCAAAGCTGTGCACTGTGATGTTGTCAAGAGGATATAGTATTGGCACACGAAATTCTCCCACCTCACCAAACCTAGGTGTTGGCATGCAGATAAGCCACCACCCATGGCATGGTTTTTTGCACTGGAGATCACCAGGGTCAAATTCAGCCCTTAGCAGGAAGCTGAGCAGAACTGGAGCCTTCGCACTCACGGAGCAGCCACCACCAGATGTGTTTCTGGTGGATCCAGAATGTGCTCCAACATGCTCCGTCTAATCTGTAGTCCCTGCAATCGGACTCGAAGCAATCCAGAGGAAAACTCACTGGAGTGCATGCACTTTCCACGCCAGGTTCATGTCACCAGCATTTTTGCTCTACTAATCCATTCTCTATGATCTATGCCATGGACTTCTCCACTTCTCAAACATTCATCTTTTGGAGAAAATTTCCACTTAAAGCAATGCTTTAAAGGAAACCTCATGAAGAAAAAGCCATAGAGAAGGAAATATGTAGAGATCCAGTATCAGCCTTCCCAGAAAGAGGCCTCTGAGGAGCAACAGAGGACACTTGAGACCACTTGTTCTTTTTAACATGGTGGCCAGGAAGAAATGACATGGATTTAGGGATACAGAGAGATCATCTTACAAAATGTAAGATTTCAAATGTAGCACAAGGAGCATCTTAAACAGTAGATGGCATCTCAACACCAGGTACCAGTTAATACAAGGCCCAAGGAGCAAGTTTCAACTCAGCCAGGCACAAACAGGCTTAATCTCCATGAATCTAAAAGTTTTCCTAACCTGTAAAATGACAAAAGTGACTCCTCTGGCCAATAAAATAAAACATTTGGATGGAGCTATTCCAAGTGGCGAGGACAGGAAGAAGTACTGGATGGCTACATCAAGGTCCCTGTCTCCTCAAGCCATACAAGGAGGAGAATTTTGGTTTCAAGTATAATGCAGGAGGTCTCCAGGGCCGCAAAACAGCTAGAATGAGAAAAAGTCGGGGGAAAAAACAACCTAAAAAGCCTAGAGTCTGCAGAGAGCCTCAAAGAATGGCTTTAAGATACCGGTGCCTACACTTTAGTAGGATATTAAATTCAAGGCCCACTACCACAGCAAACAATCCTGGATGCAACAGGAGAAAAGGAGCGAAGGGAACCTGGTCATCCATGTGGATGCATGGATCCACTGTGGGTGAAACCCTCACAACTGCCGATTTTCCTAGAGTGACACCTTCTTGCCATTCTTGTTCTTTTCTGTCGCGGCTAAATGTTGCACCAAGGTAGACCAGACTTTCTCTGGTGACCACTTTACAGGGTAAGGTGGCACATGAGGATTAACTTCAGAAGTCCTTCATAAAGTGAAGACCCCAGAATCCCAGAAGTGATTAGCAAGTGCGAACTTAATGGTGTCCTCCAAAACATTCTCAACTTGGCATCAGTAACTGCATTAGAAATCACCTGCTTCCTCTTGGATATCTGATGGTTTGGGTAGTGGATCCACCTGGAACTAATCTCTACAAATAAAAGCTGTCTTCTGTAGACATGCTCTTCCTGCACTGAGTAAGAGGTAGCATGTTCTGAAACCGGGCCTGGCACTGGGGCAGAGGTGTTGTTCTTCTGAAATTGCTTCTGAATTTTGAGAAAGCGAGCCAAATTGCATGCTTGTGTCTTTATTTCATCTTTATGCTCCTGAGGAGACAGCTGTAATATTAATTGGTTGATGAATTAACTACCTAATTTAAAAATATTGGAGGGAAATACCAATTATACACCATTTCACTGAAGATGTCTTTTTGATTTTTAACTTAATTCAAGAGAGATTTAACACAAGAAAGTGCGTTAGGAGAACTGACAACCCCATGCTCCAAAAACAAACAAACAAAAACAAACAAACACAAATTCTCTCCAAAATATGATACTAATAGGATGTTAGAGGCAAACAAGCAAATAGGCTCTACTGCTAAGGCATTTAAAGCTCACGCTATAAAGATATTCTCTGTAATCATGAGGATTAAAACAAAACAAAAAGGGGTCCTTCCATGAGGAATAATGAGGATAAGCGATTCTTCCATTTGAAAGCCAAAAGTTTTATGGCTATAAACCATACAAAACAGCTATATAAACAGTATTTTAAAAAAATCTCCCCAAGTAACATTAAGGGTAATTCAGCTTGAGCACGTGGGTAGCCCCAGAGCAGAATCACTTCCTTTGAATGGAGATGTCTTCAAGGCAAGGCCAAACCCATTAAAGGTCACAACTTTCTTGGAGGTTCTGCTTGGCAGGGATTTCTGGGGGCCTTCCTGCTGGAGCATTTACCCAACCTTGTGTCAAGTATCTCAGCTGTCTGTACAGTCCAAGGACGACTTATACCAAAATCCAAAAGGTGCCCACGTGAATTTGACAACTGTCATGGTCAGGGGCAAAGGAAAGCTTCAAATCCTCCCATGACACTTCTTTTAGACTTGTGTTGATTCCATGGAAAGCTCATCCTGCTCTCCAAGGGGTGAGGAGCTTAACTATTTCACGATGACTTCTACCTAGAGTCTCTTGGGCAGGCTTAGCAAAATCAAGTCCAAGTCTTTGCCATCAGCTCTACAGGTGCAGTGCTGCTCTAGCACAGAGATTAGCACAAAACTAACAAAAACCCTCCAAACGAACATAGTGTTGCTGGTGAGTGGCCTGCAAATTATCAGCAACTAAACTATCCAGATCACCTTGATATAGACAGTTTCATATGAAAATGTATTTTCTGACTTTTTATAGATACTTTTGCACTGTTATTTCGGCTCGTATTTCTTAACAGAAAGCAGTAGATATGAAAGAACTAGACTCTTCACATTTTGGCCTTGATTTTGACTGCTCTATCGAGAAAGAGCAGGCTTTGACACTCTAATAAAGTCTTCGAAGGACATCTTTTGCATTTATTATGCATGATTACGCTTGCTGAATTTCCGACCTTTCGAGGGATCCTCTTGATCCACACGATACAGGATGAGATAATTTTATATAGAAAATTTCTCCCTGTCCAAAGGTTGCTTCTGGTCATCTGCCACCCAGATGCCCAGAAAATGAGATGCTAGCTGCAAGGCAGCAAAGATTTTCTTTTTTTCCCCCCACTCCAGTATTACATGATTTCAGTTTTGTCAAGCAGAGCACTTTACTGAGCCTCTGTACACCAAGTTCTTGTATTTCACAAGCTTCTCTTTGGAAAAGATAAGCTCGTGAAGGACAATTAGCCAAAGCTAATTAACAGCAGCATGAAAATGATTCCAGGTTAGACTTTCTCCAACATTTTTTTTTCCTCCCGGAGGAGTTTTATCTCGTCAGATACCAGAACAACAACTATTGAGGGCTAAGAGGTTACAGAGCAGTTTATAATACATCCCACTTCATTCCCAAAGTAACTTTTTAGTTTTTATTATTCATCTTCCTTGTTCCAGGCGTGCGCCTGCTTTCAAGAAGTCAAACAAATGTGAATATCGTATTTGACTAATAAATGCCACAGCTTTTGAAAGAGCATTTTCTTTCAGGATGCTTTCCAGCATCCAGCTGCCCACCCCTTCTGTCTCTTCAAAGTCAAAACAAGCTCAGGGAAACAACAGCATCATGACCCAGCATCTCAAGCAATGAGGTTCAAGCAAAGACCTCCAACTTTCAAACTCTTACAGAAAATTATTCTGCTACAGAAAACCATTCAACAATTCAAATCATTCGACAACTCCCGTATTGCTAGGAAGCCTTCACTTTGCCCTTCCATTGTACCGAAAACTGGGCATGAGAAGAAAAGGGACACTGAAAATAACAGCTCAAAAAGGTTACAGGCAGTGTTGGCCTGGTGGTTACTAAAATAGTTTATCCAAAATACGGCCAAGGCTGCAGTGTCCTAAAAGACACTCTACAGAGCCAGTGGAGGTTTCTTTGGAGTTAAGGAAAGCTGAGCTACAGCTGAGGCGGGCAACTTCGCTCCAAAAGGTCCTTAGCAGCTATCATAAGACTGGGTCCATTTGATTTTGCATTTTGTAGCCCAAATACCTACTTTCTGGGATGGTAAAATAGGTTGTTAGGCTCTTGCCTTTTTGAGCAAGTCAACAGGTATTTCAGGGAACTTACCAAGTTCCCTAAAAATCTCTCCCTACGAGATATCACCAAGTCTCGCACAAGAAAAAGCTTCTCGGGATGCATATTTTCTTTTAGAAACACACAAGTAAAATTGATTTTAATCAAATAACCATTTAAACTCCTTCTATTTTCCCTCTGCAGAAGCACCAAATACCTTCCTTATATGCTATTTCAAACCTCTCTAGTTTAATGAGAGGTTACTATGTATAACTTAAGAGCACACTCAAATTTAGACCACAGAGGACCACCAAAAAGCACTGTCACACTTCCCGGGAAAGCATTTAACCCTCTCCCTTTAATATTGCTAACTCTATTTTATTTTCTATTAAAAAAAGTAGAGCAAGAATGAATTACGAATAGATTTTTTTGGATATATTCTAAAATTACAATACGCAATAGCTCACTTCTCAAAGGAATGTATATTCATAGTTTAATTACTTGAGCTTTTAAAACCCTCTGGATTCTCTCCTTGCAATGTTTCAATATAACTATTCTGCAACTCATTTTTTAAAATACAACATTTTGCTGGACTCCAGCAACACAATTGAGAGAGATGCTGGAAGCACCAGACCAGGCTCTCTCTGACCCTTGCACAGGCATAGAGAGTAGAAGACTGGCAGAAAGAGGCTCCTCCAATGTGAGGAAAGTCACAGCAAGGGCCTAATTCACTACTGCTATAGCCATTATGTTGGGGAAAAAAGGTTTTTTCCCCCAAGGCACTGTGATTTGCTGTCAAAAAATAAAAGCAACAACAACCATAAAAAAAGGTTTTATACTGAACGTAACAAGGTGACACTTACTTCGCTTTTGCTTCAGCATCTTCATAGGCTTTATTGGAAACATCATCTAAACCGCCAATCAAATGTTTGAAGGAGCTGTGAAAATAAAGGGAGAAGATTTCTTTTTGTTTTTTAAATAAGATAGAAATGCAGGCTTTGTCATAAGCCCAACTGCTTGAGGACACTCACGAGAGAATTTGGATTTAATTTGGTGTAACAGGGTGCAAGCCAGGGTGAAATGTTAGCAACGCCCGACGTGCCCAATGGTTAGAACATCTCAAGCAGTCCCCTCATCATCATCCTCTGGCACAGGAGAGATGCACAGGGCTCAGTCATATTGGAAAAAAAAAAGGGTTGGAATATCTTTATATCATGAGAGACTCAAGCAAGTAGAATCAATAAAATAAAAAAGGAGAAAGCAGCTAGACTGACTTGAAAGGACAAACCATTATAAAGTAGCATCTCTTGACTAAGAGAGAAGACATATATAATATATATACTTAAATGTGGTAGGGGCTCAGCAAGCTGTGATTTTCAATATTATTCAATACATATACCATTTGTTTATGGATGAAGCTACGATGGTCATGGATGAAGTTACCAACGTTAACTTGCACTGCCACCTTCTTTAGGCAAGCAAGCAAGCCAGCATAGCGCTGCCAGCACCCCGATGTGCTCTGAAACACAACCTAGAGGCTTGAAATACCCTGCTAAAATAGCAGCTTTTGATTGGCTTTAATATGGTTAGAAAAATATGGTAGAAAAGAGCAATACTCTGATTTTTTTTTGGCAAGGTGAATAAATCTTTGTATAATTAACCATTATATAGTGAAATAAAGAAAAAAAATAGAAGAGACTAATATACTTAGATTTATATTTAAATATATCTTAAACAAGGCTCCAGACAGCCAGGAGTAGCTTTCTTCCCTCATCTCTTCCCAGCTCGCTGATGATGCATGATTTTGGTCCCAACTTCCCCCAAGAACCTCAGCAACTGCTCACTTTTTCCCCCTCATCGCTCTCCCTCTTCATCGTTTCCATTTGCTCCTCATAACCAATTTTCTCCATGGATAAACTTCACCCCAAGTGGGGGAAAAAATAAATAAAAATATGCTAAAACAGTAAAAATGAAAAGCTCCCCAGAAAGCGTTCGGCTTGTATAGGCTCAGTCATGCTAGGATAATGTCGTCTTTATTTTATTTTGCTCTGCTTTCTGCTGCCAAAAGGGTCAATATAGCAACCCTTCCTGCCTTGCAAGCTAAAATAAGGCTTCCACATGAGGAGGAAAAAATAAAAGGTCTAATAAAATGTCTCTAGCTTTTTAGACAGAAAGCCACATGCACACTCTCCATTTCCCTCTGTTAAGGGGACCTGCAAGCAAGTCAAAACTATCTGAAAATATCCAGAAAGTTTAAAATCACTTTAAAAATCTGTGCAGCAATTGCCATGTCCTCATAAGACTTCTGCTGGAATCTATGAGGAAAACCAAAATTATTTAAAATATTTAAAAGCTGGCCCTTATTCAAACAATCCAGGAGCAGCTGTGCCTCAGGTTTTACAGGCTCATAGTTTCTTGCTCTTTCATTTACCCCAGGCGATTTGGTCCTACCAGCACCCAACTAAGTTTAGTGTTTAAACCCAGCAGCTCTCAGCGCTCTGGTGCAATGCTAAACAAATTACATAAATAAAAAAATCAGATATAAATAAAAGATGAATCTGAAGCATTGATTTCAATGCAAACAGGCTTAGAGTTCAAAAAACTACGAACTCTTCATAACTCCTTTTTTCAGGCTATATGGGTGCATCTTAAAAAATAGAGACTTTTTTCCAGAGCACTGGTAACGATGAAAATTGGTAGAAAGACTTTTGAGTTCTTTCTCCAAGTTTTATCTACTTACAAAGTAGTTGCAAATAACATGTGCATGTGTTTATTCAGCCTGAACTGCGAAACAAATGCTCAAGGTTCTCCTAGTAGGACCTGCAACTTTTCTTTTTTTAGATAGAAAAATATTTTATAAAATTTCCAATATGGACATGGCTTCTTGCCATGCAATTCCACGTAAAGCCATAGCAGGTTTTCCCCAAGCACCAAGTCTAACAACCCCTCAAGGGAGCCTGAAGATTAACTAACACGAGCCAATGCTCGAAGCACAGCCAAGTCAGCAACTTCGTATGTTTCCCACAATTAGAATAGGATAAGAAAAGAATAAAGGACATCCGACAACTAAGAAAAATACAACATATTAGTAAGGTCTACCCGGACCGTATCTTTCGCCAGAAGAAAGCTATATTCCTGCACCAAGCTTTCTGGTTTCCCAACTATCTAAAGGCTTGTACAACTTCACTGAAATGTCCAGAAAACTTTATTGCCTAGGTTTTACCACTCCCAAGAACAATATATACATTTTATTTACTCATGCACAGGCCCTTTGAATTATTTGGATGGATTTCTCTGCTGGATGCCAACAGAGAAGACCGAAGTATTTTACAGGTTCCACTTTTCAAAGAGAATAGCACCTTCAAATTGCCAAACTGTCTGATGAACTTTTGGAGCTAATTTTATAGGTCTTATTTTAACTCCCCTATGGGATTAAGGGAACTTCAAAAGAGGTGCACAGACATATACAAACTTTGACTGGTCATAGCCCTTTTTCAGGGGGATGATTAAAGTGAGATGGCACTGCAACACAGCCACTCCAAGAGCTTGGGCACTGCACTAATACAGCTCTCTCATCAATTATATATATTTCTCTATATATGGGAATATATACATGCACTTTTTTGTATATGTATATATATATATTCTGGGAGAACTCCTTGCCTTTCCTATACCTGGGTTTTCTAAATATTGGTGAGACATCAATCTGAAGCCAACTAGAGCATCCACTTCAGCTATTCCCAGAAGCCAAATTGCAAGATTATAAATGAACTCCTGGTAAATAATTTCCTAAATATGTCACCGTTCCTTGTGATCCAGATTTCAGGCCATTAGAGAGGAGGAATCTTTGGAGCCCTCATCCAGCCTATTTCCCCAAAGACATCCTTTAATTTCTCACCGTTCTATTTTCAGTATCAAGATTCACAATTACAGACCTACCGTCACAATGTAGGCTAAATCAAATGCTATATCATTTGATCCAAGGTTATTTTCCATGGCCAGCTCGTCACTACCTACCAAAGTCAACCAAGCCTACTCTGACCAACTCTGCTGTTTCAATGACTCTGTGTATGCAACCGTATGCAGGGATATCTGCTATGAATGCAGTTATCTTCCTCTTTACACCTAGAAATTTAGTCATTTACACTACTACATATTATACTATATGCTCTTTCTCGCTACCTTAATACTCTTTCACTATCTTCTTCAAAGTGATTTTGACCCAAGATAAACATCCATGCTAGGTGCCTCCTCTGTACCAGTCTACCAAATCCCTACTGAACATTACTCAATTACCTTTTTAATCTCATTTTTGCCCCCAGCTGTGTTCAATAGCTGTCTTTCAGGTGGAATTACTCTTCTATTGTAGTACCTTTACCCAAATTTTGCATCTTTACTCCTGACAAACAAAATGCCCTTGCATTTTCTGGGCAAGCTTCAGATTCCCTGTGCATGGCCGTCCCTGGTCTTCTGTCTCCTTGCAGAATCCCAGGCATAGTGATGGATTCCTTGAGGGATTTGTCATAATGGCTGCAAATCCTCCCTTCTTCATTCAGTCCCAGCCCGGGCTGCTTCCTCGATTCCAACTCTTGGCCATTTCCACCCTATTGCTTTCTCTCTTCTCCAGAAACTATGTATTTCTCCTTATTTTCTCATCTTCTGTAATCTTCAGTAAGAAGAACCCTTTTTGTTCATTCTCCAGCACCTACACTTCCAGGACCACCCCAATTACATAGTTCCAAACATACTAATCTTAGAAAACAAGATGTGAGGACGATATGAAACAGTTGATAGGCATCTAGTTTAAAATAGCAACTGAATCAGAAGTTCAGCATTAATCCTGTAGTTTCCTCATTACTGGGCCAACTTAAAACTGTTTAATTTAGCTGCTTCTCAAGAGCTTTTGAGACCAACAATTTCCTTGCTGATAAGGTGGAAATAAATCATGAGCAAGAATATTTCATGCGAATGAAATGCAACACAGTATGACATAAAGCCATAGTAAAGTTGGTTGAAATTTCTGATATAGCTAGGTTAGAACCAGGTTATGGTAGCCAGGTTAGCCATATAGCTAGGTTAGAACCAGGTTATGGGCTTGGTTTCGCCTTCTACATGGTGCTACCAAGCTGGGAGAAGTTCAACATTTATTTTTCTAATTGCTGGATGATTTTATGCCAACCTCATCATTTTTTCCTGAGCTTAAGAAACATCTAATCTCAAAACCAGGGCTCGCTTGTTGGCCTGGCTTTGGTCCTCATCCTTGTACAGAAAGTTTCCCACATTATTACTCTCAAAACTCTCCAGCAGCTGAACCAGTCCTATGTTTGGCTGTAAATCTAGAGACTAGACCCTCATTTCTAAGGAACATATAAAGAGGTGAAGGCTTTTAAAATGTTCACTATAGGCTCAAAGGTATTTTTGTAGCTATTTAGAGGGCTGCTGAAGGTAAATAAGTGCAACATAACAAACATTACATTTTAATGTTTAGTCTATCTGGATGTAAAGACTCCTTTTTTTCCCCTCATTAGCAGAACTTATTTTTTCACTTTTACCTACAAACTCAGAGAAATCCTAATAGGTTTTCACTATATTAGAAGGAGCTTCTACACTTACTCACCCACCTGTAAAAAAATAAACTGAGAAGATAAAAGCTCCGATAGGAAAGTTTGAGGGGGTCAGGACACTGGACAATCTCCCTTGAACTATAAGTACTACTATAAATAGCATTTCTTGTCTTGCAATGTAAATACCATTTGTTACCAGAATCTCTGGCATACATGGTGGATTAACTACAGTGTCACGAGTCTAAATTTAACTTGGGCTTCCTTACCATCTCAAGGGCATTACAGAGAAAAAGGCATCGTAAACAAGCAAATAAACCGGTGGTAAAATGCTCAGAAAGGACTAACCCGGGATATTTGGATAGTCTTATTACAGCGATGACAATTTCTGTCCTCCCTTACAGAAACGACAATAAAAGAGAGTTACTTCTTGCTTTATATTCCCCTGAATCAGTATTTACTAAAATATCTAAATATGTAACTTGTCCCCTGAAATCCACTTAGTCAAGCATCCTCACCATCTGCTTATAATGGATAGATTACAACACCTTCAAGAGGACCAGCACCTCATGGCTCTTCTGAAGAACATTATTCCTTTGGTTTTATCACAGAATTTTAGACTTTTTTGGGGCGGGGGGACGGATATGAAGGACTGGAAGAAATCTCAAGAGAGTTTAATGCAAAACTTCTGTATTAAATCAGAATCGACTCTACCTAGACCTTCCCTAAAAGATAGGCATCTAAGCATCTCTAAACTTCTCAGATTATAAGAAGCTTTGAGGGCCAGACCAAATTTCCAGCCAACCCACTGTCCTACCTTTAATGGTAGCCTTCCTTAACAGTTGATGTTTGAGGAAGAGCACAAGAACAGAGCAAGTGTTTATGGTAGGTGTTCAGGCTCTTCTAGGCCCTTCAGGCTTCCTAATCCTCAGCTAGGTCTTAGATATGGATTTCTTTTCCATTAACTTCTCCAGTTTACTTTTGGACACTTGCAGATCTGTATCATACTCCCTTTTACTATCTCTTTGCATTGCTACGGATGCCTCACCTATACAGTCATTTTTCAGATGGAAGCTGTTCTCCTTTTCCATCATTCTTAAGATACTCTTTTTTTAACAATTTCTGGTATAAACCAATCGCTTAGCTGTTGAGGGACCCAGAACAGCCCCCAGCATGCAAAATACTGCCAAACCATAGGTTTATTTTGTTATATTTTCCAAATAATTCCTACCATCGGATTTAATTCCTCCATCACTACTGAACTCTAAGCTGGTATATTTCCATGGGCCAAAAATAAAATATCTGCAAGAATATTGGGAGTTCTTCCCTGAGCAGCAATACCACATATAGCTAACGATCTTCAGTGTGAAGGTAGAAGATTTCTTGGTGGCCTATCTTGCCATACCCACCACTCAGAAAACACCTCAGTAGTTATGGTGGACCCCCCAAACAACAATTGACTCTTCAAAACTTTTCTAGAGCGCAGATGTGCTTTTCTGGATTAGAAACATCAAATTCCTCCACGCTTTCCATATTACATAGAAGGGAAAAACAATCATTTCACTTTTCTGATCTCTTCTACCTTTTTCAAGGCATAGTGCTTCAAGAGAGGGCTCTCCACCCCACATTGACTAGAAACAGCATTTTGCTCCTCTTGCTTATTCCAGGAAGATTTATTTCTTCTGAGGCTTCCGGGTTCCACTCTAACACTTGTATCCACCTCTGCGGTAATGTGATCTCCCCATTTATCTCCATTTTACCCTGGGGCATTTCATCCTAATTTCTTGCACTTTTCTTGACTGAGTTTCATCATATTGATTTAGTGAGGCCATCTCCAACTTACCAAGGACATGTATAATACACCATGAACCTATTGCTCAAAATTGAGTGACATCTCCACAGAAATGCTCAAAGTCTCTTTAGCTTTGAGAAAAAAACCATGAGGTTGAGTGTTTCCAGTTCACGCCTTTCACAAGACAGGGCAAATCATGTACTTACTCTCTGTCTATGACGAGACAAGTTACCGCTTCAGCCGCAATGACGTTGGCTGTTCTGACATCCTCCCTGGAAGAAAAGTAGATTTCTTAAGCCAACAATATTATTTTCATTTATTTATGCTGGAAATATACTTCATTAAGACATCTCCAGATAAGATTATGGGTTTCACACCTACTTTCGCAGATGCTCATTTGTTCATAGCAGCTTTAAGCATATGACTCTTAAAAATATATATGAATATTAAAAAAGGTAAAAAAAAACCCCAAAGCACAGAAATCAGCTCCTTCCTGTAAATAAGACATTCAGCAACATATCAGCCCATATCTTACTTGAGGTAGCCTGGCTTCTTACTACATGTCCTGAAACCAAGTTATCAACACAATCAGGGATTTTATTCAAAGGCATTGAAAAAATATTTCCACTTATGAGCAATAAATGGATTAGAGGGAAAATAGAGTCACCTCCTTCAGAGGCATCCAATTCACTTGGACTAGAAAATTACTGCACAGTTTCCAGTGAGGTTTAAATTAAGTTTAAAAAATGCTATTAGCAAACGCAATTAGACTGTTGGAAAGTTGGAGGGTTTAAAAGAGGAATATGGTTGCAACCTGGTGTTTACTCATACATGTGCGTGCAGTCTCCCTACTTTGGTTCGGAAAATAGGGACCTCAATTTATTAGGCAAAACTAGCTTTAAAACAGGACAAGGAGAAAAAGAATAGATGGAAAACATGAATAGCCAAACCTGCATCCAAATGCTGTAAAATGCTATTTTGAATGAGAATAGCTACATACTAGCCCTGATTTATCTAAGATAAGAAAAATCACAATGATTTTAAGGAAACAAAGTAGTTGCCTAATAGCGGTATATGTATATTTACTATTATTAGAAACTTGGGTAAATATAGACACAACATGGAATTGCAATATCTGAAATTCTGCTTTTGACAGTATATTAGAGCATTGTATTAAGTGAGAATTCCAAGTTTTTTTTATCTCATTGACTTCTTTTAAAAACTTAAACTTACACATCCTAACTCTATAACTGTGGTTCGTGCTGCTAAAACTCCGGGCTAGTGCTGGAGGCAGCTGCCCAGGGAGAATCGATTTTGCAAACCAGAAGCGGGGCAGAAAAGCAACACGGATTAAAAAAAAAAAAAAAAGATATATTTGGAGTTCAGTACAAACTTCTCCTATTTTGGTGCAACAGCCATGAAATGCATGACTGTGCTCGAGTGCAGGCAGAGGCTGAGCATGTCTCTAGCTAGCATTTGCTTGCAGATTTGCAAGCATATCTTGAGCTACGCAGCTGATCCAGCACTCCAGGTGAATTAATGCAAAATGCGATCTCAGCATGCCTGGTAAAAGCATTATTTGGAAAACCAGCCCCTAGCCCCAGCAAACGGCATCAAACCCAACTGGCTGCTATCGCAAGTACTGACTCCAATACTTTCCCGGAGTATTCGTCGCCGGAGTATTCATCGCCGCTTCCCGAGAACCAGCGCTCCTCGTCGGAGGAATCACCGTCCTTATCCGAATAATCCATCGGCCGCGACCGCCCGCACCATTTCCTCCCGGGAAAGCTCCCGTTTGCTCCAAGCCCGCTCCTTTATTCGTCGCTGGGACGAGCTCTGGCATTTTGCAAGCCCTCGAGCTCAAAACTCGTCAAAGGTCGCAGCTGCTCAGGGGTTTCGACTGCGCCTTGTTGGGAAACGCAAGTGGAGGGGATTTGGGAGCTGCGAGGAAGGACATGTTTCGCACGCCCCGACTAAATGTGAAGCCTCCAAAAATCATAAAAAAAGAAAAAAAAGCCCAATTCTTCAAATCATTCAAAAATATGTCCCATGTCGACATGGAGTACGACCAGGTTGTTTAACAGCAGCAGAAAACGCACGCAGAAAGAATTTCACAGTCATAATTTGCTGGACAGTTTGCCAGATATAATATATTTCAGCAGTGTTGTTCCGGATAAACTGTCTCCGACTGAAATTAGTAAGATTTATTAAAAAAAAGATATTTCCAAGAAAGCCTCTGATAAAACTTCATTGGATCGCACTGCCTCCATAAAGCAGCACTTGATAAGACAAATCTGTATAATATCAGAAGCTTTGGCTAAAGAAAAGGTCATTTGCTAGCTTCCGCCCCAATTCTACTACTCAAAGAGTAAAAATGTATCTAAATAGATTTTTTTTATTATTACTATTTATTTTGGCTTTACTGTCATTCCACATCCCCTAATTTAGCAGCCAAGTTTTGCCCTGGCACTGGGTCACATAGGTCCTACCCCGTCATATCTCTTAATAACACTAATGCAATTCTTCAAATACACAGAAACTACCTCTTGGAAGGTTTAATTCCACAAAATTGCATATAATCATATATACCGTACAGCCATAATAGCCATATTTACCATGCATTTGCTTGGAAATATGCTGTTGCAAAGTCCTTTAATGCTGCTCTACGCTATATCCTCAGCGCAAACGCGAAACGGTGCAGACTTAGCACTATGTTTGCATGCTTTGGGGATCAATATGCCCCGCACCAGACACCTGGGCCACTGCACAAAATAGCATTTATTGTTAGGTGTGAATACGCTGGCATGGAAAGTATCACTTTTACAGCTGAGCCCCTTCTGCTGCCCTCTTGACTGGCACTGGCCCCAGTTTGATGCAAGGCAAAACCTATATGAGAGGCAATGTGAGGCTGTGGACGGGAAATATTCTCTACATAGAGAAGAGCTGGGCTCTTTTATGTTTATTTTTTTCTTTTTCTTAATAAGACCAAATCTGGACCCCTGTTCTCCACACACCCATTGAATTTTTACCTATAGTTTAGAAAATGAGACGGTCGTTGGAGAGCAATCAACAAACCTAAAGTGATGAAGTTGCAATTTTTGAGCTATTAGTGCTGAACGATAGTTGCTAAATGATTATTTCCATCAGCTTTTTGTTGCCTTTCACTTACTTCAGGTACATGTCCTCCTAAATACCCCAGGTCAAGGTCACAGAGTACATCGAGTTAAGCAAGACTCAAGGTCATGTCCTGACCCACCTACACTTGGTGGATGGTCAAGAGCCTTCTCAAATAAGAATGAGTGATCATTATTTTTAGAGGTGGGTGGGGAAATAAAATCAAATTACTAAATTTACATTTTGGCCATCGCTGCAATCGCCAGAGCAGATCCCTGTGCTTTCTTAGGTTGGGCATCTTCCAATGACTTGGTCAATGCAGGTAGGATGGATACCTCTTTCCTGGGAAATTCACTCCAATTATCCAGAGCGTGATCCAAAAGATTGGGACTATTCATATAAGGGAAATGATCACCTTACCTACATGGAACAAAAGGTAGGGGTTGATTTTACGGTACCCTCAATTGCCAAACGAACACATATCCAAATAGAGAAACTACCTAATAACATATAAAACTTGGAAAAAGCTTCCATTGAAATGAGTTATGCTTTAAAGAAAATAAATAAATCAAAATTGTTGCTACAGGAAGAGACATTAAAACCTCTTTCTCCCCCACAGCCTCTATAAAAGCAATGAAATATGATGGCAAAGGGGCTTTGCTCCAGAGTACCATAATTTGAAGGTATGTATCAGAACAGGCATATGCTACCGCAAACACTACCCTGCAATTTTGGTGATACAGCGACTGGAAAACATTTACTGCAGAAAAATACTTGGATTTGTTCAGAAGACACAGTTTAAAAATACTATTTTACAGGGGGTTTCTTTCAATATACAGTGTTAACTGTAGAACAATCCAAACAGGATGGGGGGGAAAAAAAAGCATCAACTTTTTCTAATAATTTGTATTATGTAATTATACAGCATATTGCAATTATATAGCATATAATTAGCACTTATTTTGCTTCTAAAATATAGAGGAAATTTCTGTTGGTAAAATTTCATTGCATTTCCGGGGGCAGAAAAAAATAAAAATTAAAAAAAAAAAAGGTCTAAGTCATCTAGTCCATCTGAGACACCTCCTCAACTGTCATGTTGCCTGAAGAAGCCTTTTGGGCATCTCCTGATCATCACTACTTGTCTTCCACAGCAATTATCTCCTTCATTCTCGGCTGGGTAGTTTGCTTGAGATCCTTCAAGAGCTGCGATTAATTCAAGCTAGTTCCTACAAAGCCTCTCAACAAAAGCCGGTATCTAGACCTGTTCACGAAAAAGCTCCGTGGTGCCACTGAACAGATATGCACCTTTCCTTGATGGGCATCTTTGACCCCCAAGGAGCCCAGACATGTGCTTCTACATCACCTTCTGCTGCGAGCCTCCAAAAGAACTCCAAAAAGCCACATTTTCATTAGCAAGTCCTCTCCATCTCTAGATGTGTAGCCACCTTAGAGGTGGCTTGGTACCAAATCCTCATAGGACTTGGAAGCAAAAGGGAAAATACAGGGGGTAAGAAGTACTAATAAAACATCCTACCAAGATGTTTTTCCACCTCTACATTTTTAAAAGCCGGCATTAGCTCAGTTCCTACTGGCCACGTTAGCTTTCATATACACTATTTAAAGCAGACAGCAATTCAGGAAACCAAGAGGGGATTGTGTCAGCCAAAAACTATGTGAGAAGAGAATGGCATGTGCTCCTTGTGATCTGAGAGAAGAGAAAAAGCTTCAGGCTACCACTTGATGACCAAGAAGCTGGTCTAGTAAGCTGGGAAGTCTAGTAGTGCCTGCCGTTTCGACAGCCAGCATGAAGATTTTTTTCTCCCTTGCCAGAGGAGAATAATCTGGTTCTTGCTCTACCTCCTCTATTCAAGGTGATCTTCATTGCAACAGTATGAAAGAAATATGAATCAGCTAAGAGGATTCCCTTGCACTATTTTCCCACTCTGTTCAATCCAGAACAATTGCAAACTACTCATGAAATCATATATGACCTCTACCCCAACTCATTCAAGGTACTTGCACTCTCCCCAAAAGATAAACTAGCATTTCATCATTTAAAGGTACACTTATGAAAACAACTTTGTGAAAAATTAAAACAAATTATGAATTGGGACTTAAAGCAATATGATCTCTATCCATGTGATCTCTACAAAAGTGG